TATAGCTGTTTCTCAAACCACGCCTCTTTTGGGGAGATACATAATATTCATAGATAACTTGATTTGTTTACGTACTGGTTCCCGGATATGATCTCTATGTTTCATCTTATAGATACATAACTATTGACTGTTCCCAGTATAAAAACATATTTTTGCGGTGAAAATTGAATTCTGAAGTAGGCCAAAAGTGGAGGTAGGGGTAGTACATAACTTTAGTATAAGTTAAAATTCTAACAAGTTCAGGGCATATAAATGTTGAAAATATGCCGCACAGCCCAATGTTTTGACCTTTGAATATAGTAGTGCATATCAGCTTTTCATAATAGGATATAATTTTTAACGAAACTTTATAGTAAAAGTGACACAGTTTTAGCCCCAAAGGGAGTTCCTATGGGAAAGTCCATTGTCTTTATTTATAGAAATGCAACCTATATTGGGTTTAAAAAGAGAACATACAGAATTTCACCAAATCTTGTTTATCTCAGAGATTTAAATGAAATTAACTCAAATATGAAATTTTATAAATATTTCATGAAGATTGAAAAAATCCTGGGCCTTAACTATAATGACTCAGCATAAATTCACAGTTTACAGTATGCATAGTTTATTTAAAGCCCTGAATGCAAATTAAATTCAGAATATATGCATATTTATAATTTAAATTGTTTGGAATTGTTTATATTTACTCTTCGCAGTCATTGAAACTCATAGATCCTTCCTGAATATTATTGGGGGGGGGGGGGGGGGAGGGGTGGGGGGATTGTCATGTCGATAACCCAAAAGAAAGCCGTAACACCTAAATGTGCCTTTATGTGATCACGGCAGAAAACAATACAAGCTAGAAATACAAAAATACCTCAATAAAATTAACATTAGTGTGTTCTATCTTACATATGTACTAAATATTCCATATTGCTAGAAACAGCAGAATAATTTAGGAAATTTAACCTGTAATGCTGAGCACTATTATGTTTTATTGTGATAATGCTCACCAGCACGTTGTATTAAAATGATAACTTGTGCCTGTTCTCTACCACACCTTCTTAAAGTCATATAGTATTCCGTGATCATCATCGTTGCTACTTGATAAATATTCACTTCAAAAAGCCAAATTGAATGTTCTGTCAAAAGACACAATGATTTGAATTAAACAATAATTTTTTAATGCAATCTCGTCTTTGGAGAAGTTCTTTATTAGGTCGTAACCATTAATTCGAGATAATAAAAAAATACAGGAAAACTAGTCAAGAATCGTTATTTTAGGTTACAAACTCCTACTAGGAGTTGTCTGATAAAAATTTTGTTGAAAATAGGATGATCATGATATTTAAAACACTTTCGCCCCTCATATATGTTCTCTATCTAATATTACCAACTAACAAAAGTTAAGTATTGTATTTATTTATTATTAATTTTTGTTATGACTATAAATCATCCATTTGGGACTGGATGTTAAGGGAGCAACCAATCAGTCAACCTTATTTAGTGACCTATATAGATTTAGTTTTATGTGCATATATTCAAATTTTTAATCAAACAGAGAGTCGTTTTTTTTTTAGATATTTGGTTTTTACAATAAAAGTTTAAATAGATTTGAAGTTTTAATTGTCCTTAGTATATGAAGTAGTTCAGATTAAGTAGCACATAATAGTAAAGCAAGATTATCAAACGTTTAAGAAAAATGTAATGTATATCGCATAGACGAATTGAAAAAAAAGCAATACGTTCAGTGTGATATAAAAAATAAAATGCTGAATCATTGACATCTTCATCAACTAAAATAACAAATCTTACAAGAAAAAAAACCAAAAAAAACAAAACAAATACTAAAACAAAAGAGAAGGTACATGAGAAAAAACCAAGTGAAGGCAAAATTGTTACCATATAAAGTTTTTATGATTTTTATCAGAGTAATGGTTGAAAACCTCAACTGTTTTCCAATATGGCAATATCATTACAAAAATATATATGATACATATAAATGAAAATTGAGCGAATGAAAATCAATTTAGTTTCTAATCTCAATTTAAGTAGATGGATACAGTGATGTTCTTTCTCCAGTGTTATGTACCGCTACGCTGGTCTCGTGCTCGTTTCGAGTGGGAGGTTGTGGGTTCATTTAAGGTCTGCATTTACTTTCAGGGTACCTGTTCTTTATTATTACATGTAGATCTTTTTTACTTTTCGTGTTAGGAAATTACGGAGATTAATAAAATTCCCTTTAACTTAGCTAGTGGCTACTGTGGATGTTGACATCAAACTATGCAAACAATGCATACCCTAAACATAGGATTCCCGGTTTAATCTCTGTCCCAGATGATAATGTGCAAATTGTTAGAGTAGTATGTAATTCCTGTGTAAAATTTCATGTTAATATAGAAAAGTATGTGTTTTTTTGTAAAAAAAAAACATTATTTTGGTTTGATTCATTTTTTTTCAACTATGCCACAAAAGGGAAAAAAACTCAGATATCAGGGGAGATAACTCAGATAAAGTGATTTTTCTAATGGAAAGTGTTGTGAATTTACCTATTTTTATTTATAGCTAGAAAACAAGTCCGGTGATCTGAAAGCATGCTTTTAGAGCTTTCGTCTCAAATTTTATCTTAAAATTCTATGGTGAAGTTTTCTTTTTAGCAACACAAATTGAATTTTCAATGCATAATCTATTCAAAATCTACAATTTTGCATAATCTGTAGCGTAAAAAAAGTCCGGTCACCCATACTTTTTATTATATTTTGAAAAAAGCATGATAACAACTACATTTTGACAAATTATTAAAAAAATATATGGATTTTAATTAAGACTATCCCCCTTAGAAACATATCATTGTCTTAAAATAAAGTGCTGTCTTACTAGCAATATTTCATGGAAAAAATTTGAAACATAATTTTTTTGAAATAAAAGAAAATCTTTGAAACAGGTTGGCACTTTAGATAACAGCTTTATGTTGATGTAGGGCATATAGTTGACATCACGAATTATTGTATCGTCATCAGTCATCAATTAGCCGAATTGCAAAATGATCGCGGTATTTTAGGACAACATTTGCATGTAACATTAACTAAATAACAAAGATTTGAAAATGAAAAAAAAAACTATGATTTATAAACTCATGACACACGATCATTATATACACAAAAACGTTTGTATTGACGGTTTACGTCTATTAGTATTTTTCATCGCCATGTCAAGTCAAAATTTAAAAATTCATCTGATTTCCTGTAATTTGTTTATTCGGTTAACCTATTCTATTTTTTTATTTGGGGGGGGGGGGGGTCTTTTTATTTGAAACAAAAGGATTTTGTACCAATTACAATATATCATTTTATAACAAAAGGATTGTAAAGAAATGTTGCACGATACTAACGTTACACACTTGAAGACGTTAGCCAAAATAAAAACGTTAGAATGCACGTTTTTAAGATGGCTTTCTAAAATAACTTTTAACGGATTTTATGAGCGCAATACCCTAAGAACTTTAGATTCACGTTTTTCTTAGATAATAGATACTGCGCTTTTTATTAACAAAAAATGTAAATTGAATTAAAACCATTTGTTTAATATTCATTTTAATTACAAAAGCAATCGGTTTCATTTTCATACACTACGCACTGCAAATGCAGTCATTTATACACTCAGAATGGCGTGGCGAATGGACTACGGTATATCTGGCAAGGCAGTGTCATTTAGTTCTGCACAAATATATACAAGGGAATCAGCGGGAACAATAGCTGTTTTCTTTTCTATTCATTTTATTGTAGCGGATCGGCTGTGTCGATCATAATAAAGTCCGGAAAACACGTCAGTTCCGCAAGGAAACCTTGTCCCCTCCCCGGAATCGGTACATCTTTTTCTTACAACATTTAAAGTTTTCTCAAAAAGCAACAAAATATAGCCGTATTCCGAGTCGTCTGTGAAAACCGCAATACTGACAATGAGACGTAATGTTTTGTATATTTTGTTACATAACGTCACAATCGTATGTGGGGACATTGTATCGGACATTATAGTTTTATCTGATATCTCGTATTTTAGATTAAATTTATGAAAATTTAATATCAAGATTAAATTTATGAAAATTTAATATCAAGATTAAATTTATGAGAATTTAATATCAAGATAGAGATAACTTTTTGTACTTTTATCCTAAATTTATTTATTTTTTTATGTAGCGAATAGTACTGTATCAAATTAAAATCATTGAAAAAAAGAAAAACGTAGCCTTACCTCAATTGGGTATGAAGGGGACAAAATGTCGGACATGGCTAATCAACTCGAATAAAAAGAATGTGTTTTTAAAAAACCTGATTTTTGCATGATGCGAAAGTGTGAGCTTTGTACAAAATACTAGTATAAGAATTATTTACTTACGACATAGTGAATGCTCTGGTATTCCCTTTTTTGGGGACAAAATAGAAAAATGACGGAAATGTTTCGTGCATGGAACATATTATTTGTATCATCTTGATCCCTTTTTCTCGAATTTTGTCTTTTTGAAGGAAAAACCGACATTACGTCATCGACCAATTATGACGTGCTTGTTCTAAACAAAACTATTATGTCATTTGGTGGAATTTTTTATATGCTTTTTACGATATTCAGATTTTCCTAAAACTTAAAGTGTAACGCGGGATAAGGATATAATATTAAAAAAATGAATGTTTTATTGATTTTACTTAATGAAAATAGTCTGTAACATATACAAAATTTTTCTGAAAGATGAATTTAATATCAAGTTTAATGTTTATAAATTAATGACACGAATGTGTCTTGTCTGCGATTTCACCAAAATAACACCAGTATCGTGCGACGTTTCATAGTAAATTTTACATGTTACAAAACGAAATAAAAATAAACCGGCGAATAAGAATAAAGATTCTTAATTGCTTTATATTTTGTATATATTTTTAATTTTGATGGAGACTTCATTCCACATGTACATGTGATAGGACTAGGGAATTTTTATTTTCATTTGATATGTTACGATGTTATTGTAGTTGGGCCAACATATATATCTATAGAGAATGTAACTCCAGACAACAGAATATCTGGTATAGAAGGACATGATATGACTATTAGATGTACAGCTACAGGAGGTCAGCCATCACATGATATAAAACTAGTAATATTAGGATATACTTATCTTGGCAAACAGTCAGCACAGCACACATTCAAACCTGTCAGATCTAATGATAGTTCCAATGTTACATGTCTAGCAGGATATGAAGAGATCAACAGCTATCCATTGTCTACTTCGTCAAATATTCATCTTATGCGTAAGTACATGCCTGTACCAAGTCAGGAATATGACAGTTGTTATCCATTCGTTTGATGTGTTTGAGCTTTTGATTTTGCCTATTGATTAGGACTTATATCTAGAAATTGACTATGAGGGTCGGTTGAAAACAAAACTTTACGACAAAAGAGATGATTTCAGCTTTCCAATTGTGACCTTTTCATTTTTAAACCAACAGTTTCAAATGGTGCAGTTGAAATCATCACTTCGTAAATTTTACGGACGCCATCACGAGTTGGTTGACCGTTATGGAATATCGTTTCACAGATGATATCGGATATGTTCCTTATGTCGTAACTACAATCCCGTTCCCTTTTCACGAATGTGACCTACCGAATTAGACTATTTACCGGCTTTGTAATAACACGAGCAACACGACGGGTGCCACATGTGGAGCAAGATCTGCTTACCCTTCCGGAGCACCTGAGATCACCCCCAGTTTTTGGTGGAATTCGTGTTGCTGTTGTACCCCTATTTGTGAAATTTTTTTGACCTATTGTGTCTGTTTGTTTTGTTCACACATCGTTGTCAATATAATGGAATTTGATGCAACTGTCATACAAGTGAGAGGTTTAGCTAGCTTTAAAACCAGGTTTAATCCACCATTTTCTACATAAGAAAATGCCTGTACCAAGTCAGGAATATGACAGTTGTTATCCATTCGTTTGATGTGTTTTGATTTTGCCATTTGATTAGGGACTTTCCTTTTTGAATTTTCCTCGGAGTTCAGTATTTTTGTTGTTTTACTTTTTACATCTATAACAAGACATGAAGTGATTGAGCACATGTACCATCATATGACCACTTCGTCATATATTAATTTTAAACCCATATAATCAAACTTATATTAAAAATTATGTACGACACAAAGTGATGGAATCTGCTCATTTAGTAATTTCGAAATTCATTTCAGGCGTAAGTTTGACTGTCCCTCTGGTATCTTTCGTCCCTCTTTTAATACACGCAAAATATAAAACGTAAGATTTGACAAAATATCTTTGACGTGTTTAAATGCTCTATTGCTCCATTAGGAGTGGAAAAGAGTTATATTCAAACCAGCACTTAAGGAGTAGGGGTTAAATTGCATTCACCTTGTCCGTCTATTCAATCAACAAGTATTACCAGAACACTTTTCTAAGGAACTACTGAATAGAATGGCTTCGAATTCATCATTGATTAGAAGCTTAGATGTAAAGTGTTTGAGATACAACGGATAAGCGTTATTACATTAAAAATAAACCATGAGCCCTGAGGGCGAAATTTTCTTTTTAACATACTAACGCTTATCCGTTGTGTCTCGTGTTTAAACTATTGTTGTGACGACTTTTCGAAACAACAGATCTTTTCATAATAAGACCCTTTTCTAAGCTCAAATGACTAAATAAATCAATTAAGAGGACGATGAACTATCAATGCTGTTTGATAGAACTATACATTCACTTTAATGATTTTAATAGTAGACAAGAAGGCAAAAATCAATACAAAATCTATCAACTTACTGTTTGAGGAAAATGTTTCCCATTTATCGCTTTTTGACAAGATAAAGCTTCTTCGAAAAAAACTTTCAGTAAAACAAAGTTACTGAAAGAAACTTCTTGGTTTACACTTGGTTTATTTTACGAGCATGCATTGAAACCAAAGATGATTATCCATGAAACAGATGAATTTGATATTAACATCACATAACAGTATTCTCATTTTCTTATGAATTACATGAAATAGTCGATAATTATGAATTTCAAATCAAATATAATCAAATAATGATCTATTTTTAGTACTTAAATGTCAATAACAAAATCATAAGAAAAAAAGAAAATAGCTGAATCAGAATTTAACAACTATGTCTCAAGTGTTACTCTCAACATCAACTCTTCATATCATCCTAACCTTCCAGTATACAGATATAAAGTAATAAGAGCACAACATATATAATCCAAGAGGTTACGTTAAATTGAGTTTCAATCGACAAATTGAAAATAATTTAGACAAAAGTGAAGAGTTATCAACAGTAAATGACAGACAAAAAGTTTAAAATGATATTTATCATCATCGAGATTTGACTTTGGTGAAACCTTGCCTAATGTAAAAAATTTACCGAAAAACGATCAGGTATGACAAATTTAAATGAGGGAAATTCGATTAATTTTTTAAATGGAAAGCATTTCACAGTTGAACAAAGCATGCCATGTAAAATAATAAACGTCATTTATTTCTTATGTGTTTAAATTGTGAGGAATACTCTATTGGAGAGATAAAGAAATTAATTACAGATTAGAATGACAGTTTATGGGCAGCAAACTACCATGAATATTAAACAAAGATTCGGGATAACAAATATTTCAATCGTTGTTCTAATCGACGATCTAAAATAATCTAATTACATATGGTCAATCGTTGAAAGGATTTTCTCCGAAAAAAGGGACTAACAAAGCGAACAATGGAATATAGTAGATGACTCTATTTCAGCTTAGAATATAGACCAATGAAATTGAATGAATGAATGAATGAATGAATCTTTATTGCAAAAGCATAGACATTCTATGGCAAAATTAACAACATATATTAGGCCTCAAGATATGATTTTTAATAAGAATTTTAAGAATATAAGAAGAAAAATACTTAAACTTTTGTTTGTGTTGAATATGAATGCAAGAATTTCTTTATTTTGATAGAAATTATAAACTGCCATTTGATTTCAGTACTTTTTGTGCATAAAATATGCTCAATTTCAAGGAGAAGATACTAAATTCTTGTTCGTGTTGCTTAAAAATGCAAATATTTCTTGGTTTTTAACAGAAAAAATGCAACGTTAATTGCAATCATTCATTTTAAATGCCTTTAGAAAAGTAATGTTGTATAAAATGTGATTAATAGAAGGATAAATATGCAAAAACTTTTGATTTTGTTGAATAAGAATGCAATCATTTCTTTATCTTAATGAAAATTATTGACCGCCATTTGATTTCAATATTTTTTGTAAATCAGGATTTGTTGTTTTTCATAAAATATGCTGAATTTCAGGGAAAAGATACTAAATGTTTGTTTGTGATGCTTAAAAATGCAAATATGTCTTCTTTTATATCAGAAATAATGCAACGTCAATTGCAATCAGTCACTATCAATGCCTTTAGTTAAGTAATTTTGTATAAAATGTGAATAATTGAAGGATAAATATGCATAAACTTTTGTTTTTGTTGAATAGAAATGCAATCATTTCTTTATTTTAAATGTAAATTATTGACCGCCATTGGATTTTTGTACTTTTTATGGTTTCAGATTAGTTTTTTTTCATAAAATTAAAAGAATATCAGAGAAAATAAACTAAAATGTTGTACGCATTGTTTAAAATTACCAATTTTTCTTCTTTTGATAAAAATTAATGCAATGTTATTTGTAACTAGTTTTTTCAAAGTCCTCAAGATAAGATTTTTTATAAGAATTTTAAGAAAATAAGAAGAAAAATACTCTAAGTTTTTTTTGTGTTGAATATGAATACAAGCATTTCTTTATTTTTATAGAAATTATAATCCGCTATTTGCTTTTAGTACTTTTTGTGCATCAGGATTTGTCGTTTTTCATAAAATATGCTGAATTTCAAGGAGAAGATACTAAATTTTTGTTCGTGTTGCATGAAAATGCAAATATTTCTTCCTTTATATCAGAAATAATGCAACGTCAATTGCAATCAGTCATTAAAAATGCCTTGAGTTAAGTAATTTTGTATAAAATGTGAAAAATTGAAGGATAAATTTGCATAATCTTTTGTTTTTGTTAAAAAAGAATGCAATCATTTCTTTCTCTAAATGGAAATCATTGACAGCCATTGGATTTTTGTACTTTTTATAGTTCAGGATTTGATTTTTTTCATAAAAGTAAAACAATACCAGGGAAAATATACAGTAACTGTGTTCGCATTGTTTAAAGTTACCATTTTTTCTTCTTTTGATAAACATTTCAGCAATGTTATTTGTAAATAATTATTCTTAAGGCCTAAAGATAAGTTTCTTTTATAAGAATTTTAAGATAATAAGGATAAAAATACTTAAAAATATTGAAAATAATACACCGAAATTTGCAATAAATGAACATTTCATTTTCTACAGCATTTTCGAAGAAAAACAATCCCAATCGCGATAAACTCCGTTTTATCAGAGACATATAATACATATATTGTATTATATGTCTCTGGTTTTATCACTCTCCAGGTTTGAAAATATATAAACTAATAAGAACAAAAATCACCCTTCTTTTATAATAATATTTAAATTTGGTTGTTTCTGCATACTCTTATCTTTTTAAATTCTTAAAACTCTGCTGAATAATTAATAAAAGAATGTTTCGTATTTTCCATGGCGCCATTTTAATCTAATGAAACGAAACTAAGATTCTGTTATTTGTATTTGTTCATCATGTGACGTAGCAGAGTTCAATCCGTCAGAAAGGTCAATCGGTTCAATCCGTCCGATCCGTCCGATCAATAAAATATTTTTACTATAAGTCTGACGGATTGGTTTGACGCGAACTTGACTGATCGGTGACTGATCGATGACCGCTGATTGATCGCTAAAATAGTAACGCCTAAGGTTGCAAGTACTGTGATATAAAACATGAATAGACAACAGAGAATAATAGTATAATACTATGACAAATGTAAAGTTATGAGACTAAATGAGATATAATATTCCATGCAGATTTTACACAATTACATAATTTGATAGTAAGAGACTTGTTAGCTGCTTGTAGTATATACAAACGTTTGTGATTATTAGGCCAAGAACAATGATACTTTGGTAAAACTTTTGTTCGTACAGATCTAAAACCTGGACAAACAAGAACAAAATGGTATTCATCTTCAATAACACACATTTTACCGCATTCACATAAACGATTTTCTCTTGGAATATTTTTGTAACGACCAACTTCAATATTTAACTTTAATGTTCCACTACGTAACTTTGTTAACAGACAAACATTATTGTC